GAGAACCTTGTCTCTCTTTGAACTTTTCAAATGTCGAAACTTTAAGGATCGTAAGGTCGGTTTCAAAGAGAGGAGAAACGCCTTTTCGTTATTAATTCACTTGATCAAAACATGTCCGGCATAGATAATTCAGGTGAACAATTTTATACTTTTCCTTCTTCCTTTTTTTTGGATGTCTTACGACCCTCACAGATGCACTAGGTCATGGACGCGCAGAAAACATTTTCAGTTTGCTAGGAATTAATTTTGAATCTTGCCCAGGGAGCGGCTGCAGCCTCCTCTTATCGATTTTATGATCACCAATGGATTTTTAACGTGCGCAACCTGCACACGGGATACCCGAGTTTTTTTTTCGAAGACTAGGTGTTAGATCTTACCTGCCCTGCGTTCAGGGGTGTAGCTGAAAGACAGCAATAAGAAGGAGCCAAGGAGAAGCAGTAGAAAGGCAGCAGAAAGAGTCCAGAGGAGGAGGCAAAGGGGTAGAGCGTGGATAGGGCAGAAAGTGGAGACGAAATCAAACTCAAGAACATGATCAGAGAGCAGAAAAGAAGTCGAAAGGATACATTTTTTTCAGAGAAGAACATTTTCAGTCGCTTTCAGGTTTCGAACCCGGGACCTGTAGAATGAGAGGCGAACTCCTTACCTCTAGACTACGAGAACCCGCATTTTCCTTCAGGCGTAAGTTGATGAAGTGTTGGAACCACTTGGTAATATCTAGACTTATTCTTGAGAAAACACCCAGCAGAAACAGAAGGCAAATGTTGTTAAGAAATAGGTACTCAAGCTGGTGGATGTGATCACGGGGTCCAGTAAATCTGACGCTATTAAGTTGTAACATTCCTAACTATGAAAGAGGCATGTTCTCAAAGAGTGTCAGTAGGTTGAAAACAACACCACGGATACAGAACCTTTAGGTGGCACTAGGAAATGTGCACAGAGCTGCGATGTCGGCAGTGAACAGAAAATGCCAAAAGAAAATGACATTGCACTAAGGCTCAAACTGCAAAGTTGCACTCTATCCTGGCTGCTTTGAGGTGTACAACTCAACTCTGAACCGAAAGAAGCAGCTGACTCACCCGATGCTTGAGTATATTGAGCTGTTCAAGAAGAGACTCACAACAGCACATTTTTCACTCGTTAGGTTGATTTTTCTATTGGTTTTAGTTGAATTGTATTTATCATGGATCACGCCTGTCTGAACAGGCGCTAAAATCATTGAAGAATGACCATTGAACTGTTTAGTGTGTGTATCGGGGTGTAGAATTTGTTTTGAAAACTTTTCTTTTTTTCAGCGTCATACGCTCTTTTGTACTGTTGACGACTTTTGTCAAAGAAAGTGAATGTGGTCCTAAAAACTATGTTTGTGTTGACAAAGATTTGAACTTTACTTTAACACCAAATACAAACATCTACGATTTAAAACCCTTGAGATATGTTTCTTTGAAAATACCCCAAAATAGCGCGTTTCCAGGGAATAGCGCACATAAAATAATGGCGTTCTTAGGGAATGCGCACCGTGAAAGCCGCACTATGCGAAAAGGTTAAAGTGCTATGCGCTCAAATACAGCGTTAAGAAGATTGTTTGTTGTTATTAGTTGGAGATACAGAAACCTGCACCAGCACGAGAAAATGCAAAATGAAACCACAATTAGTGTGGGTTTGGGGGGGGGGGGGGGGTTGTACATTGAATTCATTTTACATTGCAATTTGATTTCTTTCGCTTATGAGAGCGCAAGATTATCTCTTGAGTTAATTTACGAAGTAGCAAACTTGTTCATGACCTGAAAATGGAAAGTCGTCATCCTCTTGATTTCAATTGTTCGAACTGCTTTGAATTATGCCTAAAGTCATTCTCTTTTGACTTTTCAAACATTTCAACACTCAGAAAAACAAGAACGTAAACTCTAGCATTACTTATGAGGCTTTCAAGCAGTATAAATGCATCATCTCATGAAATATTTCTGGGAGTAGGGCACAGAAACCTGGATCGTTGACATATTATTCTGAATTGAGTATAATATGCGCCAAGATTTTGGCTTAAGTTAATCTCTTAGACGAAAAGGGGGCGATTTAGCTTTGTGGACCTTGGCAGTCTCATTTTGTCCCTAGTAGGCAGTCACATCATGAAATTTAATACGTTTTTCTTGAGACTGTTTACTAGTGGGAAATCAAACTGAGGTCCCCTGCTTGCGACAGATAAGTGCCTTACCACTATACCACAGATGCCAATAGTTCTTTTGTGGATCTATAAAACCTTAATCAGTACATTGTTCTTTGTTTAATCGGAACTTTGGTCATACTGGATAAGAGAACATGGTTTAACCAATTCATTTTTCTTAATCAATTTCCCAAAGACAGATGTTTTTGCTAACAATGGAATCCAATAAATCAGACGTTATTTTTTAAAGCTCAGTTTCGGTACCATGTTGAGCTTTATAGGCAGAAAGGAAAATTTCCTCAAGACCATTTTTTTTCACGTGAGCCAAAACTTGACTTAAAACGATCTTCTCTAAAATTGTTTTAACAAATAGATCTAGCCAATTCCAAACTGGTCGATAGTTTTTTAATTCACTTTCAAGCCCAGGTTTTTTCAATAAAGGTTTTACAGTAGCTTGTTTGAAAGTATTTGGTACAGTGCCTGTGGCAAGTGACTTATTCACTCTCTGAGTAATGTGAGGTAGGACAATATCAATACAGGTTTTGAGTACATGAGCAGACATGGGGTCAAGGTCACATGTTTTTATCATTGGCCCATTGATACAATTTAAAATATCACTCTCAGTAACTGGACTAAAAGAATCTAATATCTGTCTCGTAAATTCAGAAAATTCTAAATTTCCATTTGGCTCTAGGTCGATTGAAGAGCGTATGATATTAATTTTGTCATTGAAAAAAGTCATAAATAAACAACAAAGTTCCTCATCTCAATAGACAGAATAGTATACCCAAGCTTTTCAAAGCCATGGAAACTCATAAAAGTTTGTGATAGTTTCTTCCTTTTTAAGTTGAACTCTTTGAATTTGAAGAAACTATCAACAAAAGGGATTTAAAAATGAGAATCCTTATTACCTGTAATATCCTAGCTTACTGGGGGACATATCGAAGAATGTGTATCGCCTGCTAAGGTAGAATTGTGAAGCTCTTCTATGTTCCCCGAAAAAAAGGTGAGCTTGATTCTGGCTCGAGCAAGTTTTTCATTTTCTAAAATTCGAATAAGTACGTATCACTGTTTGAGTTTGTATTTTACTTATACAACAGAGAGGCTGGGTAAGCTGCACCAAAGCCACAAACAACCTGAATGAGCCACATTGAGTCAAAATTAATACTGGCGTGATAGTTATATTCACAGTGATTTACGATCACAGAAAGAAACACAGTTTTTATCATGCTATAGTACTGACCGGATGGCCCTATTCCGAATCAGATATAGAGTGTTCTGAACTTTAATTGCTTTTGGGAGCTTTTAAGGCTCTTTGTTCATCAAGCACGGCCCTATCAGAGTTGGCTGTTAAATTCGGAGATCCCGCCAAAAAGTAACCTCACAATGATGAAAGGTTAAGGAGAACTTAAAAGTGTAGAGTGAGGGCGAATGTGAAATTGGCAATTAGGCATAAGATGTGGAAAAATAAGACATTTCAGGTAAAGGTCAACAAACTGGTAGTTAAGTAAGTATTTTATTCAGTGTTTAATACCATTAGTCCACAGCACATAAAGCATACTACGCAGTGTATTCGCAAGAAAATTTTGTGAAAAGAGCAAAATTTATAAACGACATACATATCAATAACATAATTTGAAAAATGTTTTGTGAGTGTCTTTTAACACAGTTTCCACAAAAAAGAGTATTTTATATTGTGTAAATACCTTTTTCATTTAGATATTTATCACTGGATTGAGTTAGGATTGGGGGGGTTGAATAATTTCTTTACAGATTAGCAGGACAGTTTTAAAGAAGGATTTCTGCTAAGGTGAAGGCCAGACTGAATAGAACTGACAGCTTCAGAGAAGTTGGAGAAAAACAATGAAAGTGAAGGAATGGAACGCAATGAAAGTTACACAGATTTAAAATGAAAAATGAACACGGAATATCGAATAAGAGAAAAGTAGTCAGCCGGAAGTGAACTTTGACTACATGTGAAGGTTGTAGATCAGCAATTCTACGGCCCCGAGTCTTGATCGTAGGTCTCGATGGCGATCTCAAACACATCAGCTGACTCATACACTGTGGATAGACAGACAGATCGTGATGTAGGTTACAAGCTTCTACTGTAAACTCTCACACTTTAGGCAGAAAACAAATGATGTGTCACGAAACGGGGGAATCAGGCGCTCGACAGTTGTTTGGATGGAGGCGTTGGTACAATCTTAAAGCTTACCCAAGCCATTTTTTTTTGCTTTTGATGAAAAAGAATGCATATTAAAATGTATTTTAAATAGAAGTCCATAAATCTGCAGTTTATAGAAGTGAGGCTAAAATTAACGAGAAAATGGCGCCACAATTTGGTTACTTCCAACGCTTAAGTGTCCTTGGAAACTGTAAATCTACATTTTTTTGTGCCCTTGGTCAACCTTATTTCCAGTAAATTGTGCATGGAAATGCCTTTTCTAAAAGACAAAAAAGATGTTAAGGGGGGGGGGGGGGGGCTACACCCCCAAAATTCGGCTCAAAATCATGGAATTTGAGTTGTAGGCATTTTTAGCTTTCCCAGCCTCTCCTACAACTATATCATGGCATAAGAACCCCCCAAAACCTTATTTTCTCCCATACTGGGCATGTTTGTAACCGCCATTTCCTCATAAAGTCAATATTTTATTTTTCTTTATCGGCCGTTTTCTCAAAATGCGACTTTTCTCTATACTTTTTTAAATAACTCCACCATTTTTCATCCAATCTTCATGAAATTTTCACAGAATGTAGAAAAGAGGTAATACTACCAATTTCTTTGTTGAATTTTTGATATGTGGAATAGATTTTTGTTGGTGGTGTCTGGAGTGTGGATTTTCACGGATTTTTCGCAAACAATAACATAAATTTTTTGGATCTAATGTTTGTGAACACGCATGCAAAAAAAACAATCAATTTCCATGAGCGATAAGTGCGGTATTCATTACGTAAGACGTCAATAAAATCCAATATGGTGGCGTATCCATGGAAACGAAACTTTTTTCTCAAATTTGATTGCAGATTTTAAGACTCCTTACTATGCTTGTTATATGTGTGAAATTTGGTAAAATTCGGTTCAGTAATATGCGAGATAGTCTCCAGGTGTAACCCCCCCCCCCCCCCTTAAGCCCCCTAAAAACTCGATTTAAAGTGCCCAAACGAAGGAACAATATGAGTTTTTTCAATGTTTTTATTTCGACGAGCGCCGGGTTTCACCACGATGCTTCACAAATACTATTTTATGGAGTTTACTCTTGACATGTAAATTGTTTTCAAGTAAAAATGAACAAAAAATATGCCTCATTGGAAATATTCTCAGTTATATAAAAAAAATTATCCTCAGTCCAAACCGTCCTGAAAATAAAAACCAGTCTATTCTAGTACATGCCTGATTTGCAACTGGCTACTGAAGCCAACTTCACGTAGTCCATGAATGCCGGTGCATGCCTTTGCTACACCATCACATGCATAAGACTTGAGTTCAGGTCCCGTGTGTGGAAACTTTTTCTCGATTATCTTGGTCTTTCTGCTGAGACATTAATTTATTCATCTCAGCCCAAGTTGGCTAAGACAGACATGGTCCAAGTCCGCCTCCTAAAAGATCTAAACTGTGTTGACGGGGGAATAAAAATACCTACTTTAAAACAAACGACAACATGCCATACAGTTCTTTAACTTACACGCTGAGCCACCCAGTTTCCAGATAAACACAGGGAACCCTTGATCCTTCCAGGACGCAGCGCACTCGTCGTGGGACGTTGAGTCAAATACGAAGAAGTATCCAGATTGCTGACCACATTCATAATCAGAAGGCAAGTAGTAGAATCGTCTTTGGATGTGAGTGCCGTTCACCTCCCTGTGATATTGTTGTCATTATTGCTATTGCTGTTATTGTTGATTTTAAAAGTAATAAAATCGCTTCTTTGCTTCGGTCCCTTTCACAAGTTGTTGTTGCTGTAATGTTGGTTATTGTTGTTGCTAAACTTAAACGCTCTACCAGGCAGGGATTTTTTTTTCGAAGCCCCCACCCTTTCCCAGTTCCGTTCACCAAAAAAGAAAGCAGGATCAGGAGGAATACAATTATTTCAATAAGGAGGAGGAAGGAAGTTCAGATCCCCAAGAGATCCGAATCTCAATCCTCAGCGTTAAATGCCAAGTTCGTAAACTAATGGGTGAGCCACCATCCTATATCATAGTGACAAACATTGACCCATGGACCTCAGGTGGCTATACATTAGACATTTATTGACCACACACAAAAGTTTGAGGACCGAAGCCGTTTATTGTCCTCTGATTCTATTTTTCTCTGGTCGGCGTTCCGTTTTGTCACTATGATTCCAACCTTCAAAGTAACTGAAAGGATGTTTATTTGTAGAGCTTTGAACCTTATCAAGGACGTGGTAGGAGGGTGCCACTGGTAGGCCATACCTCTCTATTTTTTATGTGTAGTTTTTTCTAAGCTTTTCCTAATACTAAACCACAAGTATTGTGTCGATATGCTTTTCTTCGTTCAAATTAAACAAAACGAACATTTATCGTTATTTAATATCAGTAATGAACATAGCTTTATTCAAACGTTTTCCATAGCATCAACCAAGAACCGTACATGTTTTTTTTTCAAAGTTCTGTGTCATAATATATCGCCTTCCCGTTGCACGTAGGCCTAAACAATACACGTGTCGAGTCCATGCCCCTTTTCATTTACTTGAAATTACGTGCAAAAGGTTACAAAAATAGATCAAGTATTCGCAAACAGTAAGCAATTATTGCCTGATGCTAAAACATTCTCAAAATAGAGAAAGTTATGATAAGCTTTTCAAACATGTGGGGACGATGTTCTCTTCCTTTTTGCTTTATTCTCTCTCTCTCTCTCTCTCTCTCTCTCTTTCTTCCTCTCTCTCCCTCCACCTCCTTTCTCTTTCTCTCTCTAAAAGAATAGAACAGAGTAATATTCTAGAGTTTGACGTACCCCGAAATACTGTAGTATTCATCGCTGTCGCTTCCAAATCCAATTCTCAGCCAAGTGTTTGCTCTACTATGAACTGCGTAGAAGGAAAATTCTTTCTTGTGGGCGCCGTCTTTATACATATGGATATATACCTGAAAGAGAATAGAGACGATACGTATCTCATAATGGCGTAGGCGTGAGGTGAGGTTATTCGTATGTGTTCTAAAGAGAGGAGTGGCTGGACGTAATTATAGATAGATAGATAAATAGATTATCTATAGAACTGTCATACAGGAAAGAAGAGATGGTCGTAGTAGAGACTGCTTTACCAGTTTCTTGATTACGTTGTTTGGTACTTTTCTTTACTATTCTACACATAAAATCGGGAAGGCTGTTGAGATTGTATCCACAGAACCACATACATTTGTACAAGTTGTGAGCATTTACTATGCTTTGTAAACTGAGTGCCTCTTTCCACTACGTGTTTTAAAAATTTACCTTTCGCTCATTAATATCATTCACCTATACACACTAAAGGGCACACAATTAAAGTTATCTATTTTCTTATCGTTAAATGCTAAAGTACCTTTGGAAATCAAAGCTCCGAGAAATGTTTGTGTTGGTACTTTTTGTTCTTGTTGCGACAGCTGTTTTAATCACGTTATGACAATGTTGATACGGAGTTATTTGTAACATCTTAAAGTCTATTCACGCGTAATGTTTTTGATGACAGAACTATGTAGCTACATTGAATAGAAATAGAGATATTTTTTCGATTGAAGGAGGTGGGGGTAACCTGGCGTCAGAGATAAAAATCTACGAGAAAATGGCGGCTTAAGTTTGGTGAATTCCAAAGTTTTAACGTCATTAAACCCTTCAGGCTCACATTTTTGGTGTGCCTTTGATCAATGGTTTTCGGTGGAATTTACATAGAAATGTATTTTTAAACGGGCAACAACAGTGTTGAGTTAAAACCAAACAAATTATAATGAATTGTTCAAAAGACGAAAAAGTACATTTTTCGATTTCATTATTTTGAGGAATGCCTGGTTTGACAACGTCGTGATACGGTTTTTTTGTGTGTTTTTGTTTTTATTTTTGTTTTTGTTTTTAATTCTATTGTCTGTATGTGAGCAAGTTATCACATTATCAGGTCACTTCCATGACTACCTCCAGTTACAATAGATCTAGTTGTTGTTTTTTTTTACCGTTTTGATATCGCTTGGCCAGTTGTCTAGTATAGCACTCCGGTAGTGTTTGTCGCAGGGAGGCAAGTCCGGACTCAGGTTGAGACAACCAGAAGGTGCTGTGACCGGAAAGTCGTCGTTAACTCCTGTCTCTGTCCATCTCTCGTACACAGACTTCCCGATGCCAGCAAATGCTCTGAAGACCACCTTCTGCTTGGAGGACTGTGTGTTCGGGCTTGTGATATACTCTGGTACATGTAATATTGCATGCTATTAACAAAGATCGTACGTAACAAGATTGTTCACTCAGCCAAAAAATTGTCCTCGGAAGTCAGTGCATTGGTTCAGATGGCGCTGCAGTCTTTGGTTTCTCCAGAAGAAGAAGAAGAATAGCAGTCTCTTAGTTTCGCTGTTTTTCTGGGGGCGGGGGGGGGGGGGGGGTGTTGGGGGGAGGGGTCACACACGTAGGGTAACTCTGTTGGCAAAGTCCGAACTTTTTCGAAGAGGGCCCCACCAGCTTTCGGAACACTTTTTAAAATTGGCTCACAGACAGACTGACAAACAGACTGAAGAGAGGAGTGAACTATCTTGTTATGTACGATCTTTGCTATTACGTATATATTAACAGAATTATAATTGGAAACCGTGATCTGTCTGTAGTGTTGTGATATGTCAGAATTCAGACTGGGAATAGAAGTGGGTTTCAAAAGCATTATTTATTGAGTATGGGTATTTTTGGTCTGAAGAAGCGCGTTCCAGAAAAGAAGTTCGTTATTTGATCTACTTGAAAATTCTGAAAAATTGAAAACTCGTTGAACACAACCAAGTGTCAATTCAGGAACGTCCTGATCCAACGGTAATGAGTTTGACGTATCATTTTTTAAGGTTTTGAGTTCAAATCCCGGTTAGATCAGGCAAGACGTTGTACCCTTAGAGAATATACTTAATCCTATTTCTTTCAATCGCTGTGATGCAGATGGGTACTTGACAATTGGCAGAGATGGAATATGTGAATTGTAGCTATATGTGTCTAACTAGTGAAATACTGCATATCTACTAATGGACCGAAAAGTTATTGAGGAATGAACAGGACGGACGTGGATTTCGGGAAATCATATGAGCATTCAAGACAATGCAACGTAGTATTTCTAAACCCTCAAAGAGGACACCTCTTATTAACGTTGACTTAATTTTGAGCCTTGCCCGAGGATATAAATACTAAAGGAAATGATTATGCTAGAATACATTTCAGCCAGACAATTAAACTAATGTAAAAACTATTCAATGTAGAACCTTCAAACAGGACAGTATTTTTCATAACTTGAAGAAACAATCTGACCAATAAACAGCTGCGTTTTCGTAAGACACATATTTAAGTTATATAAAAAACTACAACAGTAAATTATGCTGGATCTGGATGCAATTAACTCCTCTGCCTCTGATCACCTTGCTATGTGGGAGGGATAAACCACCAGACTTCTATTCAGATTAGTCTTAAATACTTGGCTGATTAGCCATCATCCTACAGCAAGCACTGTCATTCTTATTGCTATGACTGTAATTGTGATAATATTTTATAAATCCTCTACTGAAAAATGAAAAGAATAAAACATACCTTGCTCTCGATACAGGATGAGGGAGAAGTCATCCTTTTCGAAATCAAGCTTACTATCAGTGATATCCAGAGAGTTAGTCTCGCAAACTCCGCGAGATTCACTATACAGCACCACGCCGCAACAACTCTCGCACTGATGTACGCACTCCTTCAAGCTGGACCCTTACAGAATGAGACCAGACAAACAGGTATACAGGTGATTCAGTTTTATAACAAAAAAAGCAATATTACGTGTATGTGTTCTGGCGCTTCGTAATAACGATGCTTGGTCATTGTAATTTTTCCTGTTGTGTAATAAATATATACATATATATTATATATATATATATATATATATATATATATATATATATATATGTGTGTGTGTGTGTGTGTGTGTGTGTGTGTGTGTGTGTGTGTGTGTGTGTGTGTGTGTGTGTGTGTGTGTGTGTGTGTGTGTGAGTGTCTGTGTGTTTGTGTGTGTATTCTGATTTCACGACGCTACCTCTCTCTCACACACACACACAAAAACACACACACACACACATTTATACAATGGGGTTAACACAGGAGTTTGCTTACTTGCATAGTCCAACCAGACAGACATCAACTTAGAAATTTGCACAACCTCTTCACTGAGCAGCCTTTCATAAAACCAATAACAATCTTTGTCAGCCTGTGACAGTACAGATAATTAATGGGGCTCTGGTGGCCTAGAAGTTAAGGTGTTGGCCTCTCATTCAAAGGTCCAGGGTTCGAATCCGGGTAGCGACCGAAACAACTCTCTAGCAATGTTCTGTCGTCTGCTTTCGTCTCCTCTTTCTGCCCCCACTCCCTCGCATCCTTTTCCCCCTCCTCTGGACTCCTGACTCTTTCTGCAGAATTTCTACTGCGACTCCATGGCACCTTCTTACTTTTTACTGCTGTCGTTCAGCCACACCCCTGATCGTCTAGTAGAAAAGATCTACACCTAACCTTCTCGGACAAGGGCGAAAAATCTCTGAGGGCTCTTGAGCAAGTTGCGCACCTTAAAGATCCCTCGGTGGTCTAAAATTGATAAGAGTAGGCTCCGGCAGCCACCCGGGCAAAATTCCAATTTCCTACCAACTGAACAAGTTTCATGCGTCTCGTGCGTTCATTTAACCTTATGCAGTTGCGGGCGCCGCAAAACACTTACCAAAAAAAAACACCCCCAAAAAAACGATAATAGTTTTTTTTCTTCAAAACGTCTTAAATCTAGGGCAACTGGAGACAGCAACATTGTTGAGGATTACCGAATATAGAGCAAAATGGGAGGGCTATGAACGTCAAGGTCTGTTCCTCAAATATCTTTTGAACAGGAGAATCAATGTCCACCATACTAAGACTTAGCAGAGCAGTTTGTATCAATTTGTCTTAACACAATTTTTCCACAACAATTGAGGCAACATTTTTTTTTTAAATCATTAATTTCCAAGCGGAAAATTGGAGTGTTCATAGCATTTCCCGTTTTTCAAACACATTTTCAATACACATAGAGCCTATGTCACTGCTAACAAATGGCACTGTAAAACTTAGTTTTTAAAAAATAGTGTGAACACTCTTTGCACTAAAGGAAAGGTTCTCAAAACATGCGTTCAATATGCACTGTGTCGCAACTAGAACAAAGGACTGACTTGCTTTTAAAAGCAATATTTTTGCCCGAGGTCATGAGAAGTAAACCTTTTAAAATGTTTAAGAACTACTCATTGGGTTTTTATTTTCAGTGTTTATTAAGGAATTTTGTAGAATAAAGTTAACATGTCGTGTTAAAAGAAGTTGATCTATACAAAAGTTTGAGTCTATATTATACAGTTGGAGAAATATTTGACAATAAATTGAGCCACGTATTTTGATCGCACTTTTAAATCACACCCCTATACTCTAAGGTTACAACATTAGCCAGACGTGTTTGTTCCACGTCAAGTTACCAAAATATAAGCAGGTATTCAACTTATTGGGAAAAAAACCATTGAACTTGGGATGTTATGCACGAGTTAAAACCGCTTACCGCACAGTCATGAAGATGGGCCTTCAATTTAACCTATTCGATAGGGCCTTGTTATATGGGTATAAAATACCATGAATATTTTCTCATACTATGCAAGTGAAAGAACTTTTCAGGATAGACCTTTAGTCTACGGCACTTCTGTGCACGATTTTCAAGATTTGAACTGTTCACCTTATTATTTCTAATATTCGTAGATACAGAGCAGAAAACACACCAACTCAGACCTACAGATAGATCGATAGATAGATAGACAGATAGATAGATAGATAGACAGTTAGATAGATAGATAGATAGATAGATAGATAGATAGATAGACAGATAGATAGATAGATAGATAGATAGATAGATAGATAGATAGATATATAGATAGATAGGTAGGTAGATAGATAGATAGATTACTCACAAAAATCGTCCGACCAATATATCAAGTCTGTGTAATCAGTAGATCTTGCGGAGTATCCTTTCAGGGTGTAATATTTGGTAGTCACATCACAAGAGCACTTCTTTACAGAGCCCTGCACATTGGCCTTTATGGCAAAAAAGACAACACTCACTAAAATTACAGTCGTCCTGAGCATCTCTACTTGTTCTGGAATCAAATAAAAGACTTACAGCTAATCCCTGTTATTGCATACCCTCTATGGACAAGGAAATAACTTTTCTATACATGCGGTACGGGGAAACCATGCTTGTCAAGTGTCCCTACCTAGTGGATCTGAGGCCCTCAGCGGTATCTTTGATTTACGGAATGTTTTATTTTGATATTATCTTAACTACGCTTAGTAGCCGACATAGCATTCGAGGCACCTGATCAAATCAACTTCCCCTCTCCGGGTCCAACTGTCATCTTCTGTCAACAACGTGTAGATGTAGATAACCACCTAAGCCTGTCACCCTCTCTGGATCTATTCGTAATGTTATTCAGTAAGATATATTATGCTAAAGTTAATTTTTGTTCCACGAGAAAAAAGACCACCATCATTAATTCAGTAATTTATGGGCTGTTCTCCATTGCGTGAAACGAAATAAAAACGCCAGTGCTCTATATATCAGCTTTTCTATACAGTGATACTTACATGACATAATTGTGTTCCCTTATATCTAGACACACAAAAAACATTTTTTTTAAAGTCGACATCGTGTTTTCTCCGTCACGCAAGGCGTAGATAACCCTGTAGTCAAAGAAAAACAGGCCCATCCTTTTAGTTATTCATGATGGATTTCATTTCTGTCGAGCTACAACGAGGGAGGATGAGTTAAGAACGGGGTCGATATCTGTCCCGTCACAAAAATTTTAATCTGCTGCGTTCTGCATGTCTCTTTACAATTCTAGATGAACAAATGTTTCAGCACAGAACTGTGGATCCATTGAGATGGTGCTCGCCAATGAATGAACAATTGTTTCCTTTCAAAATCCCAGGCTACCTTCGGCCAGTTGTTTTTTTTATATCAAGTTTCCTTTTAATTATTGAAAAAAAGCTTTCGTTACTTTCAGAAATGCATTCCACGCTGCAAATATTGGGCTTGAACTCAAACCGTACCTTTTTTTAAGGCTATGAAAATCTTATTGAGTAGGAGTTTCGGTACCTTGACATAAGTCAGCTGATAAATTGTATTAATCTACTTCATCAAATCGCGCAGAATCTTGCAACTGAATTTTGTAAAAGCCCAAATGTTCAAGCTATTTAAGCAAACACTGTCTCAAAAGAGACTAAACAAGACTCCTAGCGATTAAGCCAACAATCTTGTTTCCTTAAATTACTTTACGTTTAAAAACAACAAAAACAACAGTAGCTTACACTAAATAGAAATACACGGTGATCCCAAAAAAACCTTTACAACTTTCTTTTCTAAATATCTCGCGCAAATGTTGTTCTAGAAAGATGAAATTTGGAACAGAAAAACTTCATTCAAAAGAAATTTGTTTGACATGAAATTCATACAGAAGAAACTTATTTTCGGAACAGAAAAAGCATAAAGAAAAAAAATATCCATAAACGCAAAATGCGCCAATTTTTAAGGGAGGAGGGAGGGGGCTACACCTGGAGGCTATCTCGCTTATTACTGGACCAAATGTTAACAAATTTCACACATATAACAAGCATAGTAAGGAGTCTTAAAATCTGCAATCAAATTTGAGAAAAAATGTTTTGTTTCCATGGATACGCCGCAATATTGGATTTTATTGACATGTCTTACGTAATGAATACCGCACTTATTGCTCATGGAAATTGATTGGGTTTTTTTGCATGCGTGTTCACAAACATTAGATCTAAAAATTTGTCTGTTGTTTTTTCCCTAATCGAATTAGAAAATTTTTAATGAATTTTTTTCTGAGGTAGCATTCAAGTTTGCGAAAAATCCGTGAAAATCCACACTCCAGACACCACCAACAAAAATCTATTCCATATATCAAAAATTCAACATACAAATTTTTAGAATTACCTCTTCTCTTTATTCTGTGAAAATTTCATGAAGGTTGGATGAAAAATGGTGGAGTTATTCACAAAAGTATAGAGGAAAGTCGCATTTTGAGAAAACGGCCGATAAAGAAAAATAAAATACTGACTTTATGACGAAATGGCTGTTACAAACATGCCCGGAATGGGAAAAATATGGTTTTTGGGGGTTATTATGTCATGCAATAGTTGTAGGAGAGGCTGAGGAAGCTAAATATACCTATAACTCAAATTCCATGATTTTTTAGCCGAATTTTGATTTTGGGGGTGTAGCCCCCCCCCCCCCCCCTTTAAGAAAGACACTCTCGCAAGGAAAGTTATGAGACGATTTATTTGATTTTTGTCTTCTTTTTCTCTATAACATTTATTTGTTCCAACCTTGTGACATTAAACAATATTTAACTAATAAAAAGAACTAACATTTTTGTTCTGGAATTTTTAAAACAAATGTCCTTCTTTGGACTCTTAACATCTTTTAACGCGTCCTTTGAAATGCTCGATGACAGTCAAACACAGTTCCCGCGAAATGTTTCTCACTTTATCAAGGATTGCTTGTTTCATAATTTCAATGTTATCAAACTGGTTTTGAAATATCTTGTCCTTCAAATAGCCCCACAAGAAAAAGTCTGAAGGATTCAGATCAGGAGAATGCGGAGCCCAAATGTGTTCACTTTTGCAACTGATCACATGATCTCCAAAGTGGTCAGCTAGCCATGTCATTGATCTGACAGAAACGTGTGGATTAGCCCCATCTTGTATGAACCACTGGTCTTGGCGATCCCAGTGCCGGTGGTCTGTGTTCACAGTTGCAACATGTCCGTCTGCGTCTTAAAAAAAAAAGAACCCACCAAACCATGAGTGCTTAAAGCCACCCACACTGTACACCTTTCAGCATGGAGTTGCTTCTGGAGACAGTAGGGAGGTGGGTGGGATGCCCAATAGACAGCATTTGTTTAGTTTACCAGTACATATCCTGAATGTTGAAAATGAGCTTCGTCTCTGAACCAGATGTCATCTAAGAAACTCTCGCATTGTCCAAGGCTGTCGAGGAACCACCGACACACTGCTATCCTCTGTCCCCGGTCAGTCTCGCGAAACGTTAGCCTAACATGAATATGGTATGGGCGTAAGTTAAGATCTGCTTAAAGAATACGGACTGTCTATGTGTATGAAAGTCCTAGCTGCAGGCATTGTCTGCGGACAGTTGTCTCATTAGATTCAGCGACTGAGTTCTGCACCCTGACAATGTTTAGAGGGGTTCGAATGGTACGCGTTCGACCTGGAGCGGTCGCCTTTTTCTGGAGATTTTTTGTGTCGATTTTCTATACACCCAAAAAGACTGAATTTTTTTACCCATAACATCAAAGAAGGCCTTGATGGCACTTTAGCACTCTTCCCGTACCTTGTGCGGAACTTACGAAATATCAGGGATGGTGATTTTGTGGAGAGGTAATGTTCAAGACAATAATGTTCTCTCCTCCTTATCAGACTGAACCATGATTTGGATAAACAAAAGGAATTTGAAAAATAATAACGTCTGCAAACTTCCCTTGGCCTGTTAGACTGCTGTAGATTGCAACATGACGCAATTGTTACGACATTTTGTTGTAATGCGTACTGGTGGGTAGTGTAATAAAAAGGGGGGGAAAGCAAAAAATGGGTTGTTTTTTTATGCGAATTATACTGCAGAATTATTTAGTGGAATCATGTAAAATGAATATCAGTCAAATTCATTTTTGAATGAGGAATATTGTATTCAAATTTGAAGACGAAAGCTTCAGTGTGGAGGAAAATATTTACGAAAAAAGTTGTGGTTTTGTTTACCCCCCTGTACATATTAAAGAGTGTGTTTACAGTAGTAAAATCCTCAC